CTTGGGGTTTAGGACCGACACTAACCTGTTTTTTAGGTGTTATCAAGCATGTATCTGGATCTGCATTGCAAGCCTAGTCAGCTGCTGAGTGTAGCGTGAATGTTTAATTCGGTGATTCAATGGGCTTGAAGCACCACCACCACCTAACGCATCTTGTAGCACTTTTATTCCTTGTGATGCATTTTATGGATTTTATGCTGCACCGTTTGGTGGCAGCTGTGCTACTACCACGTCGTCCCTGTCCTGCCCCCTAAGTACGGACGTATCTTCCACCCCGCAGATACGGTAGAGAGAAACCGCTGCTCAATTGAATTTTGAAACTTGAGTATGGAGGCGCTCATCATTCTCTCCAGCAGCAGATAGCATATTGTTGCTAATCCTTGTACCATACCGTACAAGGTTCCTACTACTGTACATATTTGTAGAAGTTAGAATACCATCGCCATTCAACACATCACGTTGGGTTCCTACGACAATTGGAGCCGGTGTAACCTAGAAGTTAAACACCCCTACCACTCGACTGCTCCTCGCGCTGGCATGCAACCTTGCGTTGCACATCCATGCACATGCACTCACATTCGAGCACCCTACCCTAACCTAGAAAGCTACGCCATGCCACCACTCTCCCATTGCAATCACCAAGCTGTGCACCGCTCTGCATCCGCTCTCCATCCCCTGCTAACAGCACCACCTGCCAACTAGCACAATCACACCACCCCATTCCCACCCATCTACTTCTTCCTCCTGGTTCTACTTATTGAGCCCTACCCAAAGCTCCACCTCGCCCCCACGGCCCCCCATCTACAACTATCATGTTTCTGTTGCCCTCAGTGTCGCCCACTTGCTCCGCTCCCCCATCCGCCCCCCTCTGCACCGCACCTGCACTCCCCCCGTCTCCTCTCCGCCTTCCCCATCCGCACCGTCCCAATCCCCCCCTTTCCCCCCCTCCTCAGTCGTCGCCAGCCGCTGATACGCCTTGGGGGTCTTCCCCGTCCTCTTCCCCGCCGCCCTCTCGCCGCCCTCTCCCGCCCTCCGCTGCCCGCCCACCTCCCCCGTTTCCGCCGCCCCTCCCCCGTTAATATCACGTCCGTTCGTCACAGCGCCAGGAGCGTCCCCCGCTGCAGTCACGGGCCGCCCCGCCTCGTCCTCAACCTCCCATAGCCTGTCCGCGCTCGTCTCGAAGTCCGCCCGCTGCGCAAAGAAGCACCCAAAGCACGCTCCGAACACATTCGCGCGCGTCCGCGGAAGCCGCGCGCCCGCCCCCTCTCCCCCCGCGTCTAACTTCTCCGCGCCGCGCACGCCCGTCATCAGGCCGAGCCGCCACCCGCGCTTCATCCACCGCATGCGCCACAGCCGCCACATGCGGCGGCGCGGCCCGGCAGGCGGCATGTCGAGCCCGTCGTCCATCGCGCCGTCTGCTGCGGCGGATGGCGGCTCGACCCACGAGTTGGAACGCGCGGAAGCGTACGACGACGACGGCGACGAGGGCGGCTCGGTGACTGGCTCCGACAGTGACGTCATGAGGATGCGACCCGGCGAAGCGTCGTCGGCGGCGGGAGCAGCCGGAGCGGCTTCGGCCGTCTCTGCGCTCGAGTCGTCCGCGGCACCGTTTCTCCGCGCCACTGCCGCCGCAACTGCCGCTATGACGCTTGAGGATGGCGCATCGGACGGTACGGACGACGACCCACTCTCGCTGCTGTTTCCGGCGCTGCTGCCCATTCCCCACGCGCCTCGGCCCATGGGCGCCCACACGTCGCTCTTCAGCTGCGATGCCGCCGCCGCCGCAGCAGCCGCCGCCGACGACGCCGCAGACGACGCCGCCGCCGCAGCGGCTGCGGCAGCGGCGCTGGCGTTAGGAAGGGCGGCGCGGATAGCGGCGGAAACGGACCCCGCGTCCGCGCGCCAGAGCGCGGAGGGCGTGCGGGGGAGCGGAACCTCGGAGCCGTCGAGAACAATCGGCGCGGCGGGTCCGCAATGAGCGACGAGCCACGGATGATTGATAAATTCCTCCACGCTGCTGCGGCGATTCGGGTCGACGACCAACAGGCGTCGCACGAGCGATTTCGCGTCGTCGGAAACGAACGGCCACGGGCTGAACCGCATCTCGTACCGCCCCTCGCAGATCTTGCGCGCCAATCGACGGTCGTCCTTGTCCATAAACGGCAGCCCGCCCGATAGAAGCACGTAGAGAATCACGCCGAGGCTCCACACGTCGGCCTTGTGATTGTAACGGTCGCCCAGCACCACCTCGGGCGCCTCGTACATGAGGCTGCCCACGCACACCGTCGCGAACACGCCCGGCGGCAGCACGAGGCCCAACCCGAAATCGGCGAGTTTCACCTGAATCGCCGCCATTGCCTCGCTGCGCATGTTGAGCCCCGCGCCGGCCGCCGCGCCATCAGGGCGGTTAGGATAGTGCAGCAGGACGTTCTCGGGCTTTAAGTCGCGGTGCATGACGCCGCGCGCGTGGCAGTACCGCACCGCGTCGGATAACTGGCGGAAAACCCTCGCCGCCAGCGGCTCGGGCATCTTCCCTTCATGGAAAATCTTCTGGTAAAGCTCTCCGCCGTTGCAATACTCCATCACCATAAACACGTCAGACCCGTCCTCGTACACCCCTTCCAACCGCACTATACCAGGATGGCCCGCAAGCGCGCGCATGAGCGCAATCTCCTGCGTGAGCACCTGGCGCTCGAGCACGCTCTTAAGGCGCGCCTTGCTGACGATCTTGCACGCGAAGCGCTGCCCGGTCCCGCGGTGCGTGCACTCGACGACGACGCCGTAGCTGCCGCGGCCTATCTCCTTGCCCATGGCGTACGTGCCGTGAGGACTGGACAACGGTCCCGATAAACTTAAACATCGCGAGGCGGTGCTGGACAATTGTGCGGCTGTGACCTTGCTTGTGAAGGGGTGATTGACGAACGGGTTGAGCGATGGCGTGAATGACGGAACGGGCTGCGGCCACGACATCAACAGCTGGTTACCCTCATCTTGACGAGCGAACATCGTCATCCTCGCCCTACCACACTAGTACCTCCCAGCTCCCAATGAAAAGTGCCTAATAAAAAAAAAAAACTAGGGTTAGCATGTGCTCAACATGCTTGTCACTGTAATTTTACTAGCGCCAGTTCAACGGCGGAACCAAGGCAGGCCACTCACGTCAGGAGGAGAGAGAGGAAAGCTGCACGCCATAGTTGGTGTGGTGTGGACCCCAGAGAGTGGAGGGTGTGACGCGAGAAGGGGGAGGAGAAGGTGAGTTGGAAGGAGCACCAGCTCTGCTTCCTCCCCTCGCCACGCCACCGCATTGGCGGAAGGCGAAGTCACGGGGAGAGGCAGACAGACACACCATCGAAGCGGGGAGACGGGGATTGGGGAACCTGCGCCGCGCCGACCACGCGGTGCTGCGTTGTGTGCACTTGCCTCGCAACCCAAACCGGCGGACCTGGAAAAGTCCTGCCCGATTACAGAACAGGTATGAAACCCAGGTCGATTTCCGCTGTGCCTTCACATGTGGTAGGTTCACTTGCCCGCTTGCGGTTATTTGACGGCGGTTTCTTGCCCGCAACTACTGTTGAGAGGAGCGCAAAACGGAAGCTAGGGGCACCACCAGCATGGCGCGGCTCGTTTGGGGCAAAATCGGGGCTGAAGCTTCCACTCAGCAAAGCCTACTTGCTAGGTCTGGCCAATCACAGTCAACGTTCCACCTAAGCAATGGGATTGTATGAGGGGCCCTCTGATTCTATAATGGGGGTCAGGAACTTCGGAAAGGAGGGAATTGACAGACTGGCACACCCGTGACGCAGGACCCTGGGAATACAGTTTACTAAACACCCATATTTCGTACGCTAACCTATGTAAAATACAACGCAGTAAGTTGTTTAGTCTGACCAGACTGCTTGCGGGGCACCGCAACACCAACTCGGGCAGGTTCGTAGCGCGTGTTCTGGTCACTTGTGCAACCACGGTGCGTGGGAGTGGCGGGACTATCCAAGCAAACTTTTTGTCCTTCCTGTCAGTGAACCTAAAAGAGGCAAGCCTCACATTTGGCCACTTTCAATACAGTATATTGGTGTAGACTTTCTCCTTTCTCCTTACGCCTTATTCCTCCACCGAGACACATCAAATCGGGTTGAATCACATCAGCACACAACCCTCCAGCATCAGTCTACGACATTACTATTTCTGTTTCTTTCCGGAACTGGTTAAACATATCAAGTTAACAAACTCTGAAGGAGAACGCGTATGTTTGTAACGGATATTACCACTTGCCCAACCCCAACCAGCAACAAGTCAAGGCGGTTGACGGAGAAACCTGGCACCATCACCTGAATGCCAGACTGGCAGCACTACAGTAGCCACCACACACCACACTCTCTGGCAGGGGCGCGACACTCTCACTTTTCCAGGAAGCGAGACGCCCTTCTCCAGCTTGCCAGGCCGAGTCGCGTTCACTCAGTTGGGACAACATGACAAAACTGACAACACCTTTTTGACTCACTCAACCATTCTGGAGATAGCCACACCATGTAAGACTCCTATCTGTTTGTGAGCAGGAATCCTCGCCAACCAAGCTCACTCGTAAATAGGATGTGATGTGAAGGCTGCTCTCACTACAATTTTCATCCTCCACCTAGCCCCTACGGCAGACCAATTGCACTAACTTGGCGTGCATTGTCGCAACCCTGCACGGCTTCATGTCTGATTGAGTTTATGAAACTGTTTGCCTTCGGGCCCAGAATCTCTAGTTTCAATCACAGGCGGCACTGATGCCAGGAGAGTTTATTATTGAGTCATCCCCATTGTGCGGGATCAGACCTACGGCCGATCTACTAGCTGAATATATATTCGTCGACGTTCTAGGGAAGGGAAAGTACGGCGTGGTGTGGAAATGCAGGGAGCGCCGAACGGGCCGCGAGTTCGCGTGCAAGCAGATCGCCTTCCGCGCTCTCGATCGCCGCGCCCTGGAAGTGGCGCTTCGAGAGATCGACGTCCTTAATCGCATGCGCGGCGCGAAGCACGCGGTTTCGCTTGAATCGGTCTTCGGCGACACGGCCTCGCTCTATTTGATCCTAGAGCTGTGTGCAGGAGGGGACCTGCTATCGCGCATCGAGCGGAAAGGTCGGTTGCCTGAACGCGAAGCGCGGCGGGTGTTCGCGTCCGTGGTTCGCGCTGTGGAGGAGTGCCACATCCGCGGTATTATCCACCGCGATATAAAGCCCGAAAACATTCTCCTCTGCCCCGTATCCCCTTCCAAGGCCAAGCCCCGGCGCGATCCCCGCTCGCGGAACCCCGTCTCCGAGGAATTCGCCCCCAGGCTCGCGGATTTCGGGCTGGCGATTCCGCTGCGCGCGGACCAGCAAGTGGTTGGCTACGCGGGAAGCTTCCCCTACGAGGCGCCCGAGGTGGTTGCGCGCGCGCCGTACGACGGCTCCGCTGACGTGTGGAGCCTCGGCGTGCTGCTATTCGCCATGCTCACGGGATCGTGGCCGGGATTCACGGAGGGCGACGCGGACAGGCGGCTGGAGCGCGCGGTGGACTGGCGCGCGGAGAGCTGGGCGGGGGTGTCGGCGCGCGCAAAGGCGCTGATTGCGCGCTTGATGGCGGTGGACCCGGAGAAACGGCCGAGCGCGGCTGAAATACTGCAGGACGCTTGGTTTGTCGAGAAGGATTGTTTGGCGGATGGAGAGGGAGTGCAGCGGTGCGGCTCCACGCGGATGACACGTGGAACCAAGAGCGGCTGCCACGTGGCGCTGACCATCGACGTGGGGTACGGGTTAGATGACGAGCAGGGCTCAGGTGGTGCGTCTTGGGAGGAAGCGGAAGATAGAACGAGGGAGGGGGAGAGTGGTATGGTTGGTGCGGAAGGGAGGAGGCAGGGAGATCAAGGAAATGCAGGAGACCGGTCGGCGATCAAAATGAACGTGAATCGTGTGGCTGTGGTGCCTCCAGCTCACCACCTGGTGGCGCACAGGAGTCCACGTGGACGTGAACAGTGCGCGTCGCCTGGGAGGAGCTGTGCCTTCATGGGTGGGTGGGGGCGTGTCGCTGTTGGTGGAGCAAGGCAGTGAGTAGTGTGCAGTTAGTAATGAGTCGAGGGTTATGCACGGCACAGTGAGTGCAGAGCAGGGAGGGCATGCAACAGTGGGGCCATCCAGGGAAGCTGGTACAGGAATAAGATCACAGCAGAAAGATGGATCAGCAGCTGTGTGCCTAGAAGATTGTAGCTTCCGGGGTAGCACATGATTGCTGTAAGATGCAGCCCAAATAAGAGCATCGTCGCTCAAACCCCGAGAAGCAGGGAAGAGCAGGACCTTTTGAAGCAATATTGCATTCTCTTTGTCTCTAAGTTCAAGTACATCTCACAGATTTTTGTGGCCCCCGAATGTAGTTGTGATATTGATCAACAGCTATCTTATACAATATCAAGCTGTTCCTACATAATTCACTGACTTACTAATTCTACATTATCCTACTGCACACATGTGAGTCATGCACGTTGAACATGAGTAACAAATGGTGATGCTTGGCAAACGGAACGAATGGCAATTATGATAGTGGCTGCAAACGGATGGTGATGGCATGCTTATGATGTTGCGAGGTTGACAAGGGCAGGGATCTGAGAGGTATAAGAATCGGGGTGGTGCAGTGTTGAGTTTGCTGGGCTGGTTGGGATTGAAGGGTTTGATGGGTTTGCTGGTGGGATGGTAATACGCGATACAATGTCGATGCGGATGGTGGGTCCTCCACCTAGATGCGGCGCAGCGGCGCAAGAATGCCACAGCCTCTCTTCCTGCTGTCCATGAGCTGGTGAAACTAGCTGCTTCCCCACTAACGCAGTACACAGCCACGCTGCGACAGAACCTCAGATCAGATGTAGGATGCGGCGGGGGTCCTCCACAATGTCCTTGATGCGGCGCAGGAAGAGCACGGCCTCTCTGCCGTCAATGCACCAGTGAAAGCTGCCTACTTCCCCACATAACACAGCGCAACTGCAGGTGCGACTTATATGTCCAGGAGAATACGCCTAGGATCCTCCACAATGTCCTTGATGCGGCGCAGGAACAGCACGGCCTCTCTGCCGTCGATGAGGCGGTGGTCGTATGTGAGCGCCACGTACATCATGGGGCGGGCCACGATGTCCTTGCCGATAACGACCGGGCGCTGCTGAATGGCATGCATGCCCAGGATGGCCGACTGCAGGCAGAGATGGTAATGGGGCAGGGGTGCGGGGGAGAGGGGAGGGGGATGGCGGGAAGGGGGGAGGAAGGAGAGATAATGAAGATCCAGCCATGAAAGGCGGTGGTCGTATGTGAGCGCCGCATACATCATGGGCCGCGCCCAAACGCACATGAGACGTCTCCAAAGTCACCTGGAGCATCTCAGCACTCACCTGAGGCGGGTTGATGATGGGTGTGCTGATAAGACTCCCGTACACGCCCCCATTGGAGATGGTGAAGGTGCCGCCCACCATGTCATCAATGCAAATGGTGCCGTCCCGCGCCTTCTTGCCCAGCTCCTGAGGTAATGACTCACCTGGGGGACCTTGGAGCTTACCTGAAACATCTCATAACTCACCTGAGGCGGGTTGATGATGGGCGTGCTGATGAGGCTGCCATACACGCCCCCGTTGGAGATGGTGAAGGTGCCACCCGCCATGTCATCAATGGAAATGGTGCCGTCCCGCGCCTTCTTTCCCAGCTCCGCTACAGTGCGCTCCACGTCCACAAAGCTCATCTCGTGCACCTTGCGAATCACCGGCACCACCAGGCCCTGCAAATGGGGGGCAAGCAATGAGAAAGGGGGGCAAAATAATTCAGGAAATGATGGTGGCACGCCCTCAGGTCAGGATCACAAGCATTTCTTGCCCAGCTGTGCCCAGCTCTGCCACGGTGCGTTCCACGTCCACACAGCTCATCTCGTGCACCTTGCGGATGACTGGCACCACCAGACCCTGTGAAGTGGGGGAAGGACAAAGGGTGAGAGCAAGGAAGCACAGAGGAGGCACAAGGAGGGAATATGATGCTCGCCCTCACAAGCCGCTCTTGCCCAGCTGTGCCCAGCTCTGCCACGGTGCACTCCACGTCCACGAAGCTCATCTCATGCACCTTGCGTATCACCGGGACCACCAGAGCCTTCCAAAAGGGGGAAATTAAATGGCAGCAGCACAGGGGGTAGGGGGAGAGCAGTAAGAGGACCAAGGCCATCATCTCATGCCTCTTGCACTGCGAACCACTGCTAAAACGATGCGGCCCTGAAGCGAGAGCATAGACAAGAGACAGCAGGATCATTGTGTGACCGACGTTGCAAATTCCATAAAATCAAGATGAGATTTGCATTATAAGACAGAGTGATGACGTGACAGCTCACCTTGGGAGTGCCGACAGCAATGCTGACGTCGATGTAGTCGCGATACACAATGTCGTCCCCATCGATCACCGCATTCACTGCTGGCTCCTGCTGCAGTGCACTGGACGCCGCCTGGCATACATGGGACAACACAGACACACACACATAGCTCATGCACAACTACTGGGGCGCCTACAATGTCAACTCATTCATTGCTGGCTCCTGCTGCAAGGCACTGGACTCCGCATGCCATGCATGCACAATATGATGAAGACTAAGAGAACACTGCACAATCATGCGTTCAGCACGAATCCAAAGCCTGTGTCGCATGGAGTTTCCATATGCTTAAAATCTGCTGCTGCGCACTGAGGATGCAACCTGCCATGCACGCACGGCACGGTGCGCACACGCACGCACACGGCTCATTTACAATTTCTGGGAGGCGCTTGTGACAAAGGCCTAGAATGCACCTCAACGAAGCTCTACCTCAACGAAGCTCTACCTCCACCAAGCTCTACCTCCACACCACCAAGCTGTACCTTGACGAACGCGGACATGAAGCCGAGCTTGATGCCGTGCTTCTCATAGAAGGCATCCTTGAAGTCGTTGCGCAGTGCAATGAGGTTCGTCCTGGGGGGGGTGACGATGCCAAATGGGGGGTTTGGATGCAGGGTGGGGGGAGGAACAAGATGCCGAGCATGATGCCGAGCATGATGCCGTGCTTCTCATAGAAGGCGTCCTTTAAGTCATTGCGCAGTGCAATGAGGTTCGTCCTGGTGGTGAGGTGAGGGGCATTGGGCATGGGGAGGGGTGGGGGTGGAGTTGCGAGTCCTTGATGCCGTGCGTCCGTGATGGGGGTGAAGGGGGTGAAGGGGGTGAAGGGGGTGATGGGGGTGAAGGGGGTGATGGGGGTGAAGGGGGTGATGGGGGTGAAGGGGGTGATGGGGGTGATGGGGGTGAAGGGGGTGATGGGGGTGATCCGGGTGAACCGGGTGATGGGGGTGATGGGGGTGATGGGGGTGATGGAGGTGAAGGGGGTGATGGGGGTGAAGGGGGTGATGGGGGTGAAGGGGGTGATGGGGGTGATGGGGGTGATGGGGGTGATGGGGGTGAAGGGGGTGATCCGGGTGATCCGGGTGATGGGGGTGATGGGGGTGATGGGGGTGATGGGGGTGATGGGGGTGAAGGGGGTGATGGGGGTGATGGGGGTGATGGGGGGGATGGGGGTGATGGGGGGGATGGGGGTGATGGGGGTGAAGGGGGTGATGCGAAGCCGAGCTTGATGCCGTGCTTCTCATAGAATGCTTTCTCGAAGTCGCTGCGCAGAGCGATAAGGTTCGTCCTGGGATGAAATTATAACATGCTTAATAAGCACGTTCTGCGACCACTCACACAACGACAAGACTCACATGTCGATTTCATTGAACGTGGTGAGCATGGCAAACGTGTTCTGTGAGTCCTTGAGTCGCTGCGCAACGCGCCGCCGCAGGCGAGTCATGGGCACCTGGTGAGTGTGGGTGGGGGACGTGGGTTGACTTTTGAGTCGACTCAAAAGTCAACTGGTGAGTGGGGGTGGGGGACGTGGGCACCTCGCATGGCAGCATCCAATGTGACGGCAGAGGGGGAGGGCGCAAGACAAGAGAGTGACTTTTCAATGACCCGACTTAGAAACTCGTGTTCTGTGAGTCCTTGAGACAAAAAGCACCACACGCCGCCACATGCGTGTTTTGGACACCTGGAAACGGGGGGAATGGTTTGAGATATGGACATGAGTCCACGCATGGCAACCGAAGTGTGAGGAGGGCAGACGGGAAGAGAGAAAGAGGGACTTAAGACCAAGACCTGGGATCGAAGGGAACGTAGCTGACGAGATAGAGGCAAAGGTGCAAGGCACTTTATGGCTAAGATTCAGCAGCGTTGGACACGAAAGCCTACCCGTCGCTCCTCCTGCATGGGGATAATCGGTAGAGCAGAACCCCCCGCAGGAGCAGCCTTTTGAGGCGCCTCAATAATCGGTAGAGCAGAACCCCCCGCAGGAGCAGCAGCAGCAGCGGCAGATGGCCGGGAGGCCGGCGGAGGAGGAGGAGGCGGGGGAACAGCGCGAGCAACAGGCACGGGGCGAGGTCCCTCCACTGCCTCGACCACGCGGTCGGCGAGCGTGGTGGAGGCGGGGAGGGCCTTGGCACGACGCACAACGGCAATGTAAGGCTATTACCGTAAGACAAGAGAACCTACCCGTCGCTCCTTCTGCCTGGGAATAATCGGCACAGCAGGACCCCCAGCCGGAGCAGCAGCAGCAGCGGGCCGGGAGCCAGGTGGAGGGGGAGGAGGCGGGGGAACAGCGCGAGCAACAGGCACGGGGCGGGGCCCCTCCACGGCCTCCACCACGCGGTCGGCGAGTGTGGTGGAGGCGGGGAGGGCCTTGGCGCGGCGCACGACAGCAATGGGCGTGCCGGGCGTGACAGTGTCGCCCAGCTGCACGCTCACTGCCTCCACCACTCCCTCGTCTGGACTGCGCACGTCTATCGTCACCTGTCAGTGAGGGGAAGGGGGGGGGCAGACGGGAGACAATGGAATATTGGTGCTTTGAAACATGCATTTGTGGTGGTGGGGGTGGAAGATTTCCTTGGGTTGGATAATGCGGTTATGCCTTCACTCGTGCCGAGAGTGATAGTGTCGCCCAGCTGCATGCTCACTGGCTCCACCACACCCTCATCTGGAGTGCGCACGTCTATCATCACCTGCCAGTGTCTCAAAGGGAGAGAGGAAGAGAGGGGGATTGTGAGTGTCTCAAAGGTCACCTTGCTCTCCACCGCGCCCTCGTCTGGACTACACACGTCTATGATCACCTGTCAGTGGGGGAGAGGGGGGAGAGGGGAAGAGAGGGGGATTGTGAGTGTCTCAAAGGTCACCTTGCTCTCCACCGCACCCTTGTCTGGACTACACACGTCAATGGTCGGTCATCAGCAGCAGGAATGGACTCTTAGGAAGGATAGGTGGGGCACCGAGGGAAGAGAAGAGAAAGGCGAGCAGTAGGTAATGACGAAAAATGGACACTAGAAAGCATGGGAAAGGCATGGCTGACGCAAGAACCTATGCCCTTACACATGCCCTGCCGTCTCCCTCCACCCCTCTCTTCCTCACCTTGTCTGTCTCCACCTGCCCGATCACTTCATCCATGCGCACACTGTCGCCCACACCTGCACCCACACCACACCACAAGGGACGTGGGGCACAGGCACAGTCCCCTCCACCCCCCCACACCGCCCTCCACCCCTCTCTTCCTCACCTTGTCTGTCTCCACCTGCCCGATCACTTCATCCATGCGCACACTGTCGCCCACACCTGCAGCCAACCACCATGCCACACACCGGACAAGGGGCACAGGTGCAGGTAGAATGAGCTAGAGGCACCGGTAGAGACAGAACGGACAAGGGGCACAGCCGCGCAAGAGGCAACCAAAATGTAACAGCACCACTTAGCGCCTCAAACAAAGAGACAGGTGATGAGTGCAGCAGTGTGATCAGGCAATCATCCCCCCCCCCCCCCCCCCCCCCCCCCACTCTTGAGCAGGGCAGGCAGACAGCACACCGTCATTCAACGATTCCCCCATGGATGGCACAACCACCTCTATCCTCATGCACCAAGCTGTACTCATCCACCCACTCCCTCGCCCTCGCCCTCGCCCTCTCCCTCGCCCTCGCCCTCCCCCTCCCCCTCCTCACCTGCTATCAGTTGTCCCTTTGGGAATTTCAAGAGCGAACATCACTCATTCCTCTTCACTCACTCTTGAGCAGGGCAGCCAGCACGCCATCGTTGACAGACTCCCCCATGGACGGCACCACCACCTCCACCGTGTCGTCCCCATGCACCAAGCTGTACTCATCCACCCCCTCGCCCTCCATCTCCTCATCTCCTATCGGCCCCACCGCTGCTTCTGCTGCTGACGGCGCCTGCACTCCTCCTGCTGCGGGCTTGGCTGGTGGTGCGGCAGAGGAAGGGGAGACGAAGGCGACGGTGGTGCCGGGAGTGACCGTGTCTCCCACCTTCACTTCAATCTGCATGGGGAGATGGATGAACAAGATGGAGGGAGCAGATGGACGGCCGGATGAGATGGAAGAGATGAAACCGGAGTGAGACGCAAGAACAGGAAACCAGTTACATCGAGAACGGAGAGAACAGTGTGAGAACGCAGGAGAAAGCGAGCAGGAGAAGAAGCACACGCATCTGGGAATCATCAGGAGTGATAAGAAGAGGAGAAGTAGCAGCACGCACCTTCTGCAGGACTCCTGCTCTGGGGCTGCGCACGTCAATGGTGACCTTGTCCGTCTCAATCTGCGCTATAACCTCGTCCTCCTCCACTGACTCGCCCGCCGCTGATCACATGACACCCACCAGCCCGCGCAAGAGGATAAACACCACCAGTCAATGGAACAGATTCCATGCGGAGAAACTCCAGCCAGTGCCATGCAGAGCAGCCGCAACCAGTGGAGGCGGACAAAAACCAGTGCATGTGCACAAACAACACCAGCCATGCCCAGAGAAACTTAAACCAGAAATTCAAATCGCACAAATCAGCACCATTTTATGTGACTATTCCATGCATTTTCGGCAAGCAACAAGCGCACAGAGGTGAGGGAATGCAAAGAAACTCAACAAGGTCACTACCTATAAATTTAAATGAACGGCCAGTCGAGGGTCCGAATTGTCTGGCACTCTTTATGGCACGGTGGTCGAAATTTGAGTACCTTTGAGAACGGCAGATATGGATCCATCTTTTATTGACTCGCCCATTGTCGGCACCAGTACTGCTGACGGCAACCCTGCAGGTGACAGTGAATGAGACGGCACCATGGCAGAAGGCAGACCGATCAGCATGCCGCATGAGACATCACACACAGACAACGACATAACCAGTGGCCATGTCATGTGCTGCAGTACCACCACCAATTCCATGCACAATCTCACGGAGTGGTAGTGTGATTTGTGTTAAGAGCTGACTATATGGATCAATTCACCCATGCAACCATGCAACTAGTACCCACACACCCATGCTCCCAAACCTGACCTGACCCCATACGCTACACTCTCATTAGCACCCCGTTCTTGCTACACCACGTCAGCACCTGCGTCGGCAGCCATGAAGCGTACACGGTCCAGCGTACGCCACGCCACGCACTCAGCCATAGCCATCGCGGCTCTGCAAGACAAATGAAATATTAGATCCTTATCAGTCAGAAGCTTAACGCAGCAAAGCATAACGGCAGACACGATTGCGCAGACCACAAATATCAACGTGCGGACCCCATTGAGCTCGCTGCATACCTGTTGCTGTTGTACGCGAACGGGCCTTTCGAACATCCTGCGAAACAGAAAGAACCAGAGAATGAGATGAATGCGGAATGCATAACCACACGGGATGACCTTACGCGGGATGAAATACCACGCGGGATGAATCACCACAACTCACACCCACGTGGCGACGTCTCACCTCCAAGCGTGGTGAGTCCGCGTCGGCTGGTCAGGATGGCGACGGCTTCACTCCGGGTCACGACGACTCCCAGCTGTAACAGGAACACCGATCACACATTCTTTAATGAGCATTCGTTTAGATAAGCATGGTCGAATTCAGATGGCTGATTAAGGATTTATTGAGGGAAGAGCAACGACCATCAGTTGATACACGCGGCTTCATCCATTGCACTTCCAAAACCATAAACAAACAAGCGCGAAAGCCCTATTTAAAGGAAGGAGGGACCAGACGCACTTCCTTGCCGGATCTCCAGGACCCTCGAGCCGCTTGCCTTGCTAACAACCTCGACACCGACCCGAGACCTCTCATGGTGTACGATTAATAAGGAAACAAGCCAGTAACAGCGAGCATGAAAAGGGCGGCACTCCCGTTGCTCGGAGCAGAAGGGAATGCTCCAGAACAGTCACGAGATCCGCGGATCTGCGAGCTGCTAAATGATGGTTGCGGTTCGAGCTATGGTACCTAGAAGAACAAGCCAGAGCTTGTGTAGGAAATGGAAGGTCGTTGACCATAAAACTGGAAACTCCCAAAGCACAAGGTCATGGAAGATCGCGGGGTGACTTCGTGTTTGTCCAATCTGGATACCCGACTTACCCCTTTTAAATATCCTTTCAAGCGTTTTAAAACAAGACGAATCTCACACAACCGCAATCTGACTGGAATGTGGTGGGCAGGGAGGAACGGCGAAAGCAAACGACCGACAAAATTGACGCCAACACGGCAATAGCCCTGTCATTTGCTGCAATCTTGTCCCACACGTGGTCACATATGACGTCACGTAAGCGACTGCTGATTTGGCTCCTGCTGTGTGGCAGCGTTCCCCCCAAGGAGCCTGGTAAATGTGGAATACAGCACGACAGTAATTCGTTGAGATAGATAATCGAGAATAACCCTGAAAACATTTGTAGTTATTCTATCCAGCCAACTTCCGCGTTGTGTCGCGTATGTTTTGAATGCTTGAATTGCCTAGCAGGACCTGATAATCTGCTGCAAGCCCTAACTCAAATCCCTCCACGACGTTCAAGCCTGACTTCTGGACGTTCATCAGATCAACAGTCATCACAGCTGATTCAGTGTTTCTGGTTTCAACTATTAGCTCATTTTAATGGAAGGTCAAGGTAACCACGGCCCTGACGAGAAGCCGAAGAGCGAGGGACAGCACATTAATCTCAAAGTCAAGAGCCAGGTCCGTATAGCACTATACCGTTCGCTGTCCCTTTCTCCTTTCCGTTAATCCTGGTTTTGACGGATGTCCTTGGGGTCTGCAGGATGGAAACGAGGTATTTTTCAAGATCAGGTCCACTTCTACGTTCAAGAAGTTGATGCAGACATATTGTGACCGTCAATCGATTGACATGAACGCCATCGCATTTCTTTTCGACGGCAGACGATTACGAGCTGATCAGACTCCTTCCGAAGTACGCTTTTCCGTGATCCTCGTTTTCCGCTCCGACCATGGTGTGCATATGCAAAATCTCATTTGTCACATGCTGTGTTTGTTTGCAGCTGGAAATGGAGGATGGGGACGAGATTGACGCTATGCTTCACCAAACAGGAGGTCGATGAACCAGTGTCTTTTTTTTTTTTCAGATGGTTGACTGGGTTAGATTTTTCGTGATGGCTACTGACCGACGCTTGCAGTAGAACCATCTCTTTGCTAGACGTGTGAGAACCCCTAAGAGCTCAATCTAGGGTGCTGAAAGCTTGGATAAGGGCACTTGTTAGCATCTCGTTGAGGATACACAACACAGCCCTCCTCTTTCCCAGGCCTGCAGACTTCACTCGTAGTAACATACTAGCATAGCCCCGTCCTAACAGAGTTGTTCAATATAATTTCTTTTGTGGTGCAGATTTATTTTTCTCCAACTTCGCTTTTGGTCTGTCCACCGTTTTTTGGATACAGCAAAACAAATTGCAAACAATAATCAAGTTAGCTATGCCGTGACCAAACGCAGTGTCCTTTGATGAAAAGGAAAGTGTTACATTGTATTTTGAGACAGCAACTCATTGTGTACCACATTGATAATCTAGACTGGTTCGTGGATGGGCAAGCATAGAGCTGTCAAGGTTGGTCCTTGACCTTGATGTCCTCTATAGTGGAGGATGGCTGTGAGTGTGTCTTCGTCAATGGGGAGCGGTTGCGAGGTGTACCCAAGGTAGCTCCCAGGACCGCTGTCCGACGTGACTGCCAAGTGCATTCACTTTGAGTGCGGAAGAGAAAGCTTCTGCTTCCTTGATTGCCTGACACTTCCTCCTCATCCTCGCAGTCTTCCCCCTCCTCACGTTCACGGCCGCCATGACCAAAGGCCTCCTTTACTCGCTCCTGGATGTTGCGCCACGTATCCTCAGGTGCAATCTGCGTGGATTTTGAAGCTTCCCCTTCTTCACGAGGTGGAACTTGGATACCGAAGATGTTGGAGCTTGTGGGTGCAAAATGGACATGCCGGGGAGGCTTAGATGCTTGAGGACCAGGCCCACCGACTGAAGCGGATTGTTGAAATGCCTTCTCTTGGACTGGGACACTGGAACAGTCCTCTGCAGGAACCGATGAAAGAGAGAGATCTTGTAGCGCACGTGTGCTGTCATCGTCAGCTGCCATCGACAAGGTTGCCTAAGGTTGTCGTAAACCTAATGAAGAAGGCGGCAGTCGCGGGATTCGGTAATGCTGGGCCACTAAAGAATTCCCTGCTGACCAGGAAGACTAACAATCAGGTTCTCGGACACTGAACTCCAGGAAAAGTACGGGTCCAAAGTCAGGACTATTTTTGCTCGAACCTGAAGTAGACGCAGAAAGACTAAGCGCCACGTCAGCCGTGCATTTGGCAGACGGGCATAGTGGCGGTACCTCTCCCTAAAGACATCTTGTGGGGACAGGGTAGGAGAGATTGATGGACACAGCTGTCAGAAAGCACACGGAACGAAATGGGGGGGGTTAGTGGGAATGGTGTCTGAAGGCAAAACTGATGGGATGGTGAAGTGTAGATCTGTGACACTTCAAAAAGTGCCTTGCTGGCTTGGTCATCTGTACAATCATATGACCTTCAGTCCCTCCCATTCCCCTATCGCAAACCTGACGGTTACACTCTTTAGCAGTTCGCCGAGGGGCAAACCACATCGTTATCTTGCATCGCGAACAGGTGGGGATCTCTTGGGTTGCGCGCCCGCGGTCAGGTGTGGGGGGGAAGGGGGATTTGACAAGACCACCCCTTCGAACCCTCACGGATTCCCGCTCTTCCCCCCAAAGAACACCGCCACTTCCCCTCCCTTTCCCCCAACCCTGGGGGTGGGAGGTGCAGATGCAATCAAAATGCACATTGCCATTTCATTCTCCACTTGTCATGGACGTTGAAGCTGAAGGATTGGTTTCGCCTACTTCATCTACCAGCCGCCAATCGCGGTCACATCCTTCGTGGATCTCAAGGATCTTTCCCTGTAGCTACGCCACGATGGCGAAGGCAGGCGTCGTTTCCGTTTTGATTCTTGCCGTTGTCCTTCTTGCCGTGGACGTTGAGGTAAGCTATGCCTGAACTTTTTCGCGAATCTGCTCGATTTCTCCATTTCTGATAGAGTTTGTTCGTTCGCTCCTTCAGGCCAAGGTGAAGACGGCATCCAAAGAGGAGGTCACTCACAAGGTATTCTTCGATGTGGAGATCAACGGCCAAAAAGCAGGTCCGAGCTTTATCATTTCCCACTGCATTTTGTCGAGATTGAAGTTCCAACAGACATTGACTTTATTCGGGGTGTGCTTTACTTCTGCAGGCCGTATTGTGATTGGTCTTTTTGGCAACGCCGTCCCCAAAACTGTCGGTAAGTAGCTATAGACGTAGGATTCTTTTCCTGCGGTTGTCTCATCGAAATACTGACCGAATTCGCCGTTCACATCTTCCGTCTCCCGTTCGATCTTTATCTGCAGAAAACTTCCGAGCTCTTTGCACTGGTAAGCAGTTACTCTACTGTGTATGGGGTATCTTTAGGTCGACGAGCTAGTTCTAAAATATATCATTTTGCTGCAGGTGAGAAGGGCATTGGAAAGAGCGGCAAGCCCCTGCACTACAAGGGCTCCAAGTTCCACAGGATCATTCCTCAGTTCATGCTGCAGGTACGTATCATATATCACGAGTGCTTTATCCCTTAAAAGTCGCTATGTCTCACGTCATTTGCTGAATCACGGCTCGCTTTGCAGGGCGGTGACTTCACTCTTGGGGATGGCCGCGGTGGCGAGTCCATCTATGGCGAGAAATTCGCTGACGAGAACTTCAAGCTGAAGCACACTGGCCCTGGTATGTCCCGCGTCACACAGCCCACACAGCCAATTCTTCACCCATAGCCCTCTATGCTGCTGACTCGCTGCTATTGGCATGCTCTCGCCTTCCACCTCTCGTCAATCTTCATTCACCCCATGTGAGTGACTCATGATTCAGAAAAAGGTCGGCAAAGATAATAACAAAAACACTTTCAAGATAGCCACGTGATCCTATTTGAACAACCACATACTGGATGTCTTTTGAACATTGTTTCCCTTTACTCCCGCCTGTGCCCCACCTGATACCAGGCATTGTCAGCATGGCCAATGCTGGTCCCAACACCAACGGCTCCCAGTTCTTTATCTGCACTGTCAAGACCAGCTGGTGAGTGCTGAGCCCACCTGATTCTTCATGTGCTGTTTTGGAAATTGGTGCTGAGTTTGCTCAGAGACTGAGAACCATTTGGTGCTTGGCTTGTGTGTGCAGGCTGGATGGTCGCCATGTGGTGTTTGGCAAGGTGCTGGAGGGGATGGACGTGATGTACAAGGTGGAGGCGGAGGGCACACAGAGCGGCACCCCCAAGGCCACTGTCACCATTGCCGACAGTGGCGAGCTGCCCATGTGAATGCGCTCAGAAGATTTCTGAGCTAACCATACACTGAGTTGCTGGCTTATGACATGCTTGGTGCCTGACTTTTGATACTTGGATCCAGGCCCCTAAATTGGTTTCAGGGCACGCTGAAAAATCAGAGTCGTCAGGGTCTGCTTGGAACTGTTAGACAAATCTGTTGAATTACACTTATTTTTACTTGAAAATGTTTATATATGCAATCCCACATGCTGCAATCACCCCAAACGCAATCAGCCCTCTCAACAGGGTCAGTTGGATAACTGAGAGCTGGTGGGAGTAAAGGTGGTCAAAAATCACAGCTGGTAGCACCATAGACACTCCCATGGAACAGACTCCTCCCACCACTGACTCCACTCTGTCCATCACATCATACCTGCAAAATTACCGTAGAGGCCACAACAACAGGGACAATCTCTCTGACCTCTTTCAGCAAAAACGTGCAGACCATTATATTGTGAAGCCACTAGCGCTGGCACCTGAGAGAATTAGAAGCAGGAAAAAAAATAGACTCACGTGAGGTATGCTGTGAGGTAGCCGACGAAGGTGACAGCAACGCGAGTGATGCCCTCAGCTGTCGCTGCAGGGATGCGCAGGGGAGCAGGAATGCAAGCGAAAAACACTGAACCTTGAGTGGAAGACTAGTGCCTTGCCTTCAATAATTTGCCAAAAAAAATGCTAGTACAATGGTCCAAAACAAATGCAGCAGGCAAAAGCAGCAGTGGGGCCATGGGAGCAAGGAGGTACCGGAGTGGCGGTGTGGCACTGGCAGTGCGCTGCATTGGGGCGGTGGTAATCCACCATCAGCAGGGCAGACACTCTCCGCACCATCAGCGACAGGATCCGCAGCACTTGGTGCGGGCTTGTGTGAGGAGACAGGCAGGCCGAGGCGGGCAGAGAAGTCGAGAATCAGCTCTGACATCACATACACCAGAGCCTTTTCATAGAGAGGAGGGGTTGGGATTGTTGGAAACAATAAGTCCTAAGTGCGCTTCTGTCGTATCAAAACCCAAGGCACCAAGCGAAGCAGTCCCAATCGAAGCATCGAGTCAACCTCGGAGGTTAGGGTAACCGCCTGGAGGTTACGAGAAAGTCAAAGGTCGCTGACCTTTGACTCGACAATCACAGCGCGACAGTTAAGGACACACAACTGACTCGTTACAGAGCAGTTGCCCGAGTCGCACTGTATCGAACCGCAACAGCAATACAGTTATCTACCTATCTATTCGTATTCCCTGTACTCTTATATAAATCCTTGTATTTGCTTGTTTAATTCAATCTACTTTGCTCTCACACACCAGTGCAAGGTCGGTTCACAATCCTCATCAAACGCTTCCGCTATTACAAGTTTTCTACCCAAGAGTTCTCCTCTGCAAAGATCCTAAGGGCTATTTTCTCAGCCCAACATGGTATGAGAGCAGACAGGGGAAAACTCTAACTTTTTTTTATCATTACAAGACATGGCAACAAACAAGGAAAGGAGCTCCCCTAATGGCTCCTCGGGGACTACTCCTACTCCACCACCAGCCTCTGGCCTGCAGACAGAGGAAGGCACGGCAGCAAGACCAAGGGGAACGTCAACCGAGACCCCCACGAACCATCCTTCTGACTTCGACCAGAACATGATGGAGAAATTTTTCTCCTTCATGTCCTTCTACGAGCAACACCAGCAGTCGGGACCTGCACAGACACACAACAGCAACAACGGAGCGACACCCATGAGCCTTGACGGGTCGTCATATGCGCGAGGGAATCAACAGCAGCAACCCACCTTCGCCCCGTACGAACGCGGGTCGATCAGCTTCCTGCCTCAACCTCCACCTGCGCAAGACAAACCAATGGATGCCTTACAAGTACAGTCGCAGTTCGCGCATGTTCTGAAACTACAGACGTCAAGACCTTTCGACGGAAAGGACTTCTTTACCTGGTCCTTTGAATTCGAGTTGATGATGGAGGGCGCGCAGATACTTGGCTTCTTCGACGGATCCCTGCAGTATCCAGCAAACGGGACACAGTATGAAAAGCAGCAGTATACGTATCAATCCATGATGGCGTATACTATTCTACTGAGAAACATCACACCAACCCAGCAGCAGAACATTCGCTCCTACCGGAACTTCGGCAACTCGGCGGAACTCGCGTACGGCCATCTGAAGAACCTGTACCAGGCAACAGACAGTGTAAACCAGAGCAGGTTAATGGCGCAGCTGACAACAGTGGAAATGAAACCAGGAGAAAAAGGGTTGGCGTATATCAGCCGATGTCGCGAATTGCGCGACAAGCTTCTTCGATGTGGAGGGTCAATCTCTGAAGACGCCTTCGTAACAGTCGTCATAGGCGGCCTCGGTCCTCAGTGGCGCGCCACCAAAGCAATTCTTCGAGCACACGGGAGGATCTCCGAAGCGGCACTTTGCGCAGAAATTCACGCGGAACAGCAGGATATGGACCTGCAAGAAGAAAGACACAAGAAAAGGACATTAGCACCGGAGTTTGCTTTCCATACTCAGCGACGACACAACTACTACAACAATCGACAGCAGCAGCCGAAGTCAGTACCTCCATTTTGTCACATCTGCAAGACATCAGGACACCCACGCTCGCACTGCCCGTCTCGACAGACAACACCACAGCGACAACTGCGGCCTTCAAGCACACAAGTTGCTTCGACACAAGCAAGTTCGACAACCACGATTCAAGCTTCAACGACCTCAACTGGACAACCTGCACAAGGAGCAAGACATATAGTCAACTGCATGGTCAAGATAAACGACTCTTGCATAACAGAGTCACCACCCCATTACTCACCGGAAGAGGAGCTCGACAACAGGACGCCTCGTCGCGAATCACTCCATCCAAATCCGACTTACGCCGCTATCGCTCAAAGTGAACCGTCCGGCCAAGACACCTGGTTCTTGGACAGTTGCTGCGGGCAACACATGTGCTCGTCCGGGCGTTTCGTACAACGCGAACATCGACTCCAACGGGAAGTGATCATCACGGTTGCCAACAACCAAAACCTGCGCACACGAAGACAAGGAGTGGTACAGCTTCAGTCAAGAGAAACAAATGTCATACTGCACATGTCTAAGGTACTCATCGCTGAAGGACTCGGCTACAACTTACTGAGCGTTAGCCAGTTGATGGCGAAAGGAATTCATCTGGAAGCCGACAGCACGACCCAGGAGTTCAAGCTTTACCACGGAAGAGGCGGTCTCTACATCGGGAAAGCAGTGCTGAAGAACAACGTCTTCGTCCTCGACTTCGCTCCCGACCTCGGCACTGCAGACAGCGACGCCATTGTGAACTTTGCTGAATGGACACACCCTCCGGATCTCGATCCCGACTTCAGCCCGGGAGGTTTCTGGTACTCCCACACTATCCCTGAAGCAGAACGAACAAGAGCGTTAGCAACAATTCAACAAGAAGCAGAGACAACAACATCGGCAGCAGCAACAACATCGACAGCAGCAACAATATCGACAGCAGCAACAACATCGGCAGCAGCAACAACATCAGCAGCAGCAGGAACAACGACACCAGTCACAGTCGACGAAGCACCACCAACACTCGCGCAACAGCTGAATCCGACTCAGCGTGAAGTCCACCGAAGCGCCAACCTCGTCGCCAGCTTTTACTCCAACTCCGACGCATATCAGCGTTCACCCGGACACCGCGCCTCTGAAGAGATCTGGCACGCACGCACAGGACATCCAAGCAACACAGTTTTGAATAACACGATAAGAGCAGGAGTCCTCGACAAAGACTCTCTACTTCTACCCGATGGCAGAGAACTCCAGAAGGCACGAGGGACTTGCCTTATATGTCCCGAAGCTGACTTACCTCATCGACCGTTTGCTTCACATCACAACCCGAGCGCTCCAGCGTACGCACCACTCGAAAAAGTCTACAGCGACATCCTCTACAATCGCGAACCAGGACAAGTCAACTACAACTACACCATCACCTTCATCGACGCTGCTACTCGATACGTCTGGCATCGCAACCTACCCAGCCGCGACATGGCGCTCGCAGCATTCGCCGCCTGGCTACCGATAGCAGAGAGAGAGTCTGGAACACAACTGAAAAATTTCCAGTCAGACGGAGGTGGCGAGTACACCTCTCAGCGCTTCAAGCAGTTCTTGGCGGAAAGGGGGATCAAGCAACTCCTCTCCCTTCCCTACGCACATCAGCAGCAAGGTGTTGCAGAACGACTGAACAGGACCCTGCAGAACAGCATGCGCAAACTGTTACGTGGCATGCGGCTACCCAACCACCAGTGGCCAGCAGCAATGGACCACGCTGTCATGCTGCACAACTTGTTGTCGTCGTCGTCACTCCCGAACAACGCATCACCGCATCTGCTGTGGACAGGGAAGCAGGGCAGCACGAAAATGTTACGAGTTTTCGGGTGCATGGTACAGTACAGACCCCCAGAAGCACGAGCGGGAAGATTTTCGCAACGGGCACAGTGGGGACTACACCTCGGCATCGAGAAAAATTACAACGCATGGAAAATCTTCGACGTCCACACAAAGGAAACAGTAGCAGCACGTGACGTGATCTTCTACGAAAGACTCACCCTTCAGACATACCTCGCCAACTTGCACGAGAATCGGGACCTCACCAGTGGTTTTCGTGGTGACCGAGCCTTCGCGTCAGCAGCGGACGAAGCAGACTGGGATGAACAGAACGTCGACAACGCCTCAGAAGAAGCCGGACCTCTCCCATACTGCTCCGTCGACGTGCCCATGGATGAGGATAATCCTCGCGACAGTAACAACGCCGAAATCTTCTACCGTTTCGCCGACGATGGTTACATAACACCTGTGACAGTCAACACCAACGAAGCAGAAAGGGTAGGGCCAAATTTCATGCCCGACCCAGAAACGGGAGACGAAGCAGCTTATCCCGAGGATCCAGAACTCCCTCGATACTCACAGACTGGGCTGCAAATCCTTGGTCTCGTCACCGCAGTCCATGGCGCCGGCATTCCTGAG